CCCCCCCCCCCCCCCCCCCGAGGCTCTCACTACACACAGCCAAGGGTTGAGCCTCTCTAAGGGGTCTAGAAACTTGGTGGGACCCTCAAGGCAGGGGAGGGCAAGTAGTGGAAGTTTTAACTGGGGGTGGGAACACGTGGCTCCCGTCAGGGGCAGCATCTCTGCCCAGCAAGTATGGCAGAGTACTTGCGCTTCAGTCTCCCTGGAGAGGTGTGGTTTCAACCCCTGAAGACCCTCTAGGGGGCATGCCCCCCCAAGCTATGAGCCTGTGGGTGGGCTTGCTTAGGTGGCCCCACACATGGACACCTGGCAGGAATCAGGGCTGCTGAGATCCTCTGGACTCGGGCTGGGGCCCGGGTCAGCTGTGGGTGGGCAAAGTCTAGTCTACTCCAGAGGCTCCTGACAGTCCACCCCAGGCCAGTCTCCCACCCCTGCCCCACGTTAGGGAGAGTCTGAGGGCACTAAGGGCTGATGTAACTTGAACCCCCTCTTCCGGGGACCTGCCTCCACCATCCTGAAAGAAGAGGCTGGGCAAGGAGGAGAGTAGCTGGGGAATGGAGTAGCTGGGGTGGGGGAAGAGGAGCCAGGAGGTTGGGCATGAGTGAAGGAGGCTAAGCTGGGCCCCACCTGCCCACCTACCCGCCCCACCCTTGGGCCTCCAGTAGGAGGAAGGAGCGGAGGGGCCGTCCTGGGACGGCAGCGCCCGCTGCCTGGCACACCCTGGGCTGCTGGACTCAGGCATTCTCTCCTCTAAGCCCAGCACGGTCCTCTGACAGAGGAGTCTCAAGCCCATACTTCAGATGGGGAAACTGTGGCTTGGAAAGGTGCAGACACCTGCCTGAAGCCCCCGAGCCAGAAGAGGGTCCACCTGGGGTGAGCGGTGGGATCCTGGCACCTCCTGGTGGGGGACCTCACTACATCTGATTGACATCAAAGGGGCCAGGTCTCAGGAAGGAGCTCCTGTGGGTGTCTCCAAACCTGTCCCTGAGGGCCTAGCTGAGTTCTCAGGGCCCCTCCTTACTGCTCAGCTGGGAAGGAGAGGCTCCAGGCCACCTCCAAACCCCAGACCACCTCTCCCCACCTTCCACCTGCGCCACCTGGCTGGGGAGCACAGGTCTCTCCCCTCAGTGGCTGTTTATTACCCTCTTGTAGCGCTTAAAGGCCTGACCGGGGATCCAGATGGCTTGGATCAAAGCTCTCTCCTCCGCCTCTCCTTAACTGTGTGGCTTCCCTCTGAGCCTCAAGCTCCTTGTCTGTGAAATGGGCACAGTGCAGAGGCCTGCCTCACCTGAGATTGTGAGCTTGGCCCAGGGAACCTGGGAAGTGGTCACACAGTGACCGCTCCACAAATGGTGGCCGTGGTGCTATATGCCCGGGATTGGCCCTGGATGATAGCTGTGGGCTCTGCCTCGCCCAGCTCACATGTAGCAAGAGAGAGGCGAAAGCTTCCGTTTGAAAGTCTGCAGCACTGAGCACTAGTGCTCTGTTCTAAGGAAGGCTGCTATGGAAAGATCTACTGGCGGACATGCCCGAGGAGCTGTGTAACCTTGGACGCCTCTTCCTCTTCTCTGGGAGCAGTGGGTCTGCTGACCGCCTTGCCGCTGATTGGGTGGGTGATAGGGCCTTGCTGCAGGCCCGTCTGGAGTAGAGCAGCCGGGTGGGGCGAGGCGGGCAGGTGCAGGAGGTGCCGCTTCATCTCCACCCTGAGAGCCCAGTCTTGGGCCAGCATGGGAGAGTTACTGAGCTGTGAGACCCAGGGATTGGGCAGTGCGGCCCCGAGGTTGCAGACTAGCAGCTCTCAGAGACCCTCTGCAGGAGATGGCTCAGAAGTTGCCTGCGGGGAGCCCCACTAGGCGTCTGGATGAGGTGGGCGAGCAGGCCACTGGCGCAGGGAGAGGGCAACTTGGGGTGCAGGCCCTTGCCGTCTCAAATGGGCATCAGAGGCATTTCGGGCTGGTCCAGCAGGGGAAGCCGGGGCTCGGCAGCCAGGCCAGCATGGTGACTCACAGAAGGGGAAGTCCTTTCAGCCCCTCCACTGTTTTCTAGCTCTGTTCCTGGCAGGACCCAGCTCTGTCCACTGTGAGCTGAGGCTGCAGGGAGCCTCACCCTAACTCTCCAGACCAACTCTGGCCCCGCGGGGGTGAGCAGATGCTTCCCCGGGCTGAGTCTCTCGACCCAGACTCCCTGTGGTGTTCACGTGTCTGGGAGGGTCTTGACCAGCAGGCAGCCAGAGGGCCCGCCCACACCCACCTCCTCTGGGAGCCTCCCCATCCCCACCCCAGCCAGGGGCCTAGCAAACACGGTGCTGTCAGTGAGTCCTCGGCCCCTCCTCTGCATGCCCCCTTGGAGCTCCTGCCACAGCTTGGCAGCCCACGTGGGTCATGTCATTTTCCTGGGTGTTCTCCGGGTGACAGCTCTGGGCCGGGGCTCAGGATGCAGCTAGGGACAAGGCAGGTGTGGACCCTGCCAGCCACCATGGAGCTCTGGGGTCTGGGGGAGGTGGTAAACACGCCAAGCACGAAGAGCTGGATAGTTCCAGGTCTCGATTCCTGCCGTGGGGTACATAAAGCGGGGCATGTGCTGGGGGGGTTGCAGGTCAGCATGGTGGGTGGTCCAGAGCTGATGCTCCTGCTGAGGAGGTGACAGCTAAGCTGAGATGGGGAACAGCAAGCCCAAAGGCCCCCAGTAGGGGCAAGGTCTTAGATGGGGACCACCCCACACCCTCACGGAGTCCTGGGAGCCTGCTGGACGGGCGCTGGCTGCTGGGTCTCTTGCCTTTGCCATCCATGCACAGCAGAGGCCCTGGGCAGAGTCCTGTCCAGGGGAGGCAGGGGCATACCATGCATATGTGGGGGCTTGGGGCCTGGGCGTGGCTGCAGGGTATCTCCCACACTCTCACCTTCTCCTGGGAGGAGGTCTGGTCCCCCAGGAGGCTGGGAGGGGTGGGCGGCTGCGTTTCCCAGACTCGGCCTCTGGGGCCCCAGTCAATGCCAAGTCTCCAGGGCTGCCTTTGTGCGGGAAGGGACAGCAGGTCTGGTTTCCTTGCAGGGGCAAGCTCCACTGGGCTGGCAGCCAGGGCCAAGCTCTGCCCCACACAGGCCCTGCCCACCCCCACCCCCACCCCCTCCCAGGCTCCCAGCACCTGCTCCTCCCCCACCAGGGACGGCAGTCCGGGACCCTGCCGAGAGTTTCCTCTGTCTCCACAGAGGATGGGCCCCCAGCAGGTGGCTGGACCATAACAAAAGCAGCTGCCAGGCCCTGTGTGTGATCCTTTAATCCTCACAGTGGCCCAAGGCAGGTGCAGAGTTATCCCCACTCTGCAGATGGGGACACTGAGGCTCAGCAGTTGCCGTGACTTGGCCCTGGCCCAGGGCTCGGAAGCAGCAGAGCCAGGAGGCCCAGGCCTCACCTGCCGCCACCCACACACCTCCACTCCAGGGCCTGTCCCCACAGGCTGCCGGAACAGCTTAATTCTGTCTCTCTAGAGACCCTAATCCTGACAGCTATAGGCAAGAGCCTGGGGAGGAGGGTTTGGAGGACAGGCTGGTTAGCGGGGAGGGGTGTCTAGCTCCCCCAGCCATTCTGGCCACTGGGAGCCCTCGCCTCCAATGATCCTTCCATCTATAGCTGCACCTTCCTCTCTCTTTCTGTCCCCCGCCTCTTCCCACCCTGCCTAAGGCCTCCGGAGTGCCCTGCAGGGGCTGGCAGGGAGGGCAGTGTGTGTCCTGCCCTCCTCTTTGTTTTCCACCCCATGGCTCTTCCTGCCCCAGGGCCTTTGCACTGGCACGCTGCTGCCTGGAGCACACGCCCCCTTACCCTGTAGGTCTCAGATGCCACTGCCTCAGAGAGGCCCGCCTTGATTTTCCCACCTAAAGCGGGTGCCCCCTTCCTCCATGGTCTTCCTGTTTCCATCTCTCATGTGAGCCATCTCCACTGAATCGAGGAAGAAGATGCTCAATGCATATTTGCTGAGCAAATGGATGAATGGTGGACAAGGGTTCGAAGGCTGGGGGTGGAGGCCAGTGTGATGGGACCCATGGCTCATCTTGTGGCAGGAGGATGACTCTGGAGGGAGTCAGGGGGTCCCCAGCCCCTCTTGGCTAGCTGACCATTCCCTTCCCCTTGCAGGGCCAGTACTGCGACATCTGCACAGCTGCGAACAGTAACAAGGCCCACCCTGTGAGCAATGCCATTGATGGTACAGAGCGCTGGTGGCAGAGCCCGCCACTGTCCCGCGGCCTGGAGTACAACGAGGTCAACATCACCCTGGACCTGGGCCAGGTAGTCTTTTCTTTGTCTGCCACAGCCCACACCTCTTTGTCTGTGGCTGTGGGGCTCACCTTGGGGCAGGGACCAGAAGGTGAGGTCCGCACCCGGATTGAGTTCTGGGGGCTGGGGGCCTGGGCATGAACAGGACTGCTGGCAGCCAGCAGGACAGAGGCGTGGCAGTGACCCCTTCTATTTGTTCTTCTGACATCCCTGCGACTCATGAGAAAGAGGGGACAGAGTGGGGCTCCACCAGAGGTCACATGCACGTGAGGGTGGGGGCTGCAGAGTGGACAGCCATGGGAGGCTGGGGTGGGAACACTGCTGCGCCTGGAAGGGTTCCCTGGTGTTTACTCTGAGGAATTCCTGGCGGCGTGGGAGGGGCTGCAGGAATGCAGCAGGGAGGCCAGCGGAAGTGGACATTCCTGGGATACCTGTGCTGCAGTGGCCAAGGGGGGTTAGGTGGGCCATGCTCAGGCTGCCAGCTCTGGGATCTCCTTGGCCTTCCAAGCCCCTGTGCAGGCAACAGGGTGGGGCTGGGCGCTTCCAAGTGGTGAGCCTCCCCCCAACCCCTGGTGGAGCTGCCCCACCACCAGCCCAGAGGAGCCCCAGACAGGGCCTGGGACCCTGATTTCGCTCCTGGGCTGCATCCCACTCAGGGTGACCTTGCCCAGGTGCTTGGCCTTGGGGCCACAATCCCAAAATTTCAACAATTCCCCTGCTTCCTGGGACGGGGTGAGGGAAGCAGCCAGCACCAGGCTTCAGGGCTGCAGGGCCAACCCTGCCAGGCCCACACTCTGCAAGGCCTGTGTCTCCTCCCACCCTGATGCCACCCTGCAGTGTGACCAGGGGTCTCTGCCCCTTTCTGAGCCCCAATGTCCCCACTACAATCCCTGGGTGTTAGCTGAGAGGCAGGGAGTCTCCCATGAGGCTGGCCGGCCCCGATGTGCCTCCTGCCCCCAGCCTGAAGGCCCGCAGGCCTACCCAGTGGGCACCTGTGAGGGGCGTGGGCTCAAGTCCCAACAAATGACCTGGGATTTCCAGGGGGCGGCCGATTTGCTGGTGTGCCCCATGGAGAGGCAGCCAGTGTGGGGAGGGAAGGAGAGGGGAGTGGGGGCAGGGCTGTCCCCACCCTGCCTGCTGGACTCCATGCTGTCACCTGGCCCGACCTGTTTCTCTTCATGTCCCTAGTTTTCACCAAGTCCAGGCTCCCCTATCTCCTGCAGCCTAGGGGGCCTCGTGAGCCCCTGTGTGACCCGAGGGGTCTCTCTATCTCTCTGGCACAGCAGTGGCCATGTTTGTGAGCACTCACCCACTGGGGGCTGAAAGAGGGGCACTGGTGGATTCTTTCTACCCTTCCTCCTCTGAGGGACTAGCCTGGCTGGCTGGGAGAGGGGAGAAGGACAGTCTACATGGCAACTCAGGATGGCTGCAGAGCAGGTGGGTACAGTGCCCGAAGTGCCTTGGGGGCTGAGGGATCAGACTGGCACTGTGACCCACAGAGAGGGCTCTGCCTCCTGGCTATGAGGCCCTCTCTGAGCCTCAGTCTCTACATTTGTGAATTGGGCTGCAGGTGTCCAGGCCTGGAGCAAATTTGCTTTCAGATGGTTGCTGGGTCAGGGAGAAGGTTTCACCATGTACACGCCCTGCCCCAGTTCCACCCACTGTAAAGTGACACGAAGGGAAGAGGACCCCTTTCCACCATGTCTGGGGTTGGCTGGGGCTGGAGGCAGGGGGCACTGGGACTGCCCACTCATGAGTTCTGGGCTGGTTGGGGCAGACAGACCCAGTTTCCAGCTCCATGGGTAAGGGAAATTTCTTTCCTGGGTTCTCTTGCTTTGAGGCGCCGGTCCTGGGGTGTGGCTGGGGCTTCCCTGAGGAAGCCAGGCCGGGTGGGTGGTGGGTCCGGGCACGCCCCCCGCGGCGGGCCGCCAGCAGCCTTTGTTCCGGGATCTGGAGCGGATGCCCTGGGAAAGGGGTGGGGCAGCTGGCACTGGGCATCAGGAGGGCTTCCTGCTGCTGGGAGGACCGAGGAGGACGTGCTGGGCTGCGTCATGGCCGGCTGTGGGTCTCACGCCCCAGCCTTGCTGAGCTCCAGCCTTGGAAGGGGATTCTTTCTTTCTCTGGGGGTGGGGCCCCAGGAAGAGTCTCCACGGCTGGTGGCTCTGGTGACTCAGGGGGCAGTTCCCGGAGTCCAAGCATTGACCTGCCTGGGGGTCCTCCTGGGGGGCAGTTCTAGCTTATCCCCTTGTGTCCTCTGGAAGTTTCTGGAGCCCAGCAGTCAGATCACTGGCTCAGGCCGCCTTCCCAGAACCTCACCCAGACCCCTGTGCCCAGGCTCAGGCCACATGGCCACCCCCCACACCAGCCCACCAGCCCAGTGGGCTCAGGTCTGAAGGAGCTGGTCAGGGGTAAGCCAGGGCTGGCTCTAGTCCTGTGTCCCTCTCCCTGTCCAGACATCCACCTGGGTGGCCTGGCCATGGGGCAGGACTGTCCCCAGCAGCCTCCTCCCCATTGCCTGCAGCTTCAACCCGCCTTCCCCAGATCAGGCTTCAGATAAGGAACAGGAGGAGCGCCGCCCCCTTCCCGGCAGGAGGGGAGGGCCTCCCTGCAGAGCCGCAGGAACAGGAGAGCAGACTCCCTCCCCATTGCCTGCAGCTTCAACCCGCCTTCCCCAGATCAGGCTTCAGATAAGGAACAGGAGGAGCGCTGCCCCCTTCCCGGCAGGAGGGGAGGGCCTCCCTGCAGAGCCGCAGGAACAGGAGAGCAGACTGGGCAGGCCACGTGGGGTGCGAAGTGGGGGTCAAGGCACAGAGGGGGACACTGGGGCTGGCCCTCAGGGTGTGGGTTGGGACGATTGGGCGTGAGGCCAAAAGTGCTGGTTGAGGGCTTGAAATGCCAGGGTAAGGGGCCTGAGCGCCTCTGGGCGATGGTGGAGAGCAACAAACAGGTGGATGGAGGATTGGGGTGGGGGAGGGAGGCAGAGAGGGAGGACAGCCGCCCCCCCACACTGGATGGGGTGCCGAGGAGGCACAGGTCGTAAAGTTGCTGACCACTAGAGTGTCAGAGCCCTCACTGGGCACTTGGGGAAACTGAGGCGGGCGTTATGAGAGGGACGGTGCCAGTGTGGAGTGACCAAGATCGCAGTGTTGGTGCTGGAAGAGACACTGGGGTTGGCCATGGTGGGCCGTCTGGACCCCATGCCTCCTGGGGCTCAGTTTCTTCCTCCACAGATGGGATTGAGGATACCTGTTTGGGGAGTGAGGGCCCTGGGCGAGGGCCCCAGCTCACCTGGCTGCCCGCCCTCCTGTCCTCAGCCAGCCAGCTTGGGGCTCCCTGGGCAGGCCTCCTGGTCCTGGCTACCACTGCCCTGCCCAGTTACGAGACTGTGACTGCTGGCATGGCTTCTCAGGCCCAGCTGGGCACTCGGCCATGTGGCTAGTGCCCCAGGATGGTCAGTGGAGTTGTCCAGGGAAGGACAGGAAGTGCGATTGTGGCCAGGCTCTGGTTACAGAGCCAAAAGGCTGGGACAGGTGCAGGGGCAGGGCCGGATATGGCCCCTTGAGCTGGGCTCCCTGTGGGGAGGGTGAACGGGGGGTCCTGGGTGGCATCCCCAGGACAGGTCCTCAGGCTGAGCCCGAGGCACCCCCCCCTCCCAGCACAGGATAAACGGCGAGACCCTCCTACTGCTGCTCAGAGGACACGGCCCGAGGGGCTGTCGGTGCCCAGGCTGGGGGCTGTTCTCACTGCCTGCACCCTGCGTGCTACCACATTTGCCCCCTGCAGCAGCACAGACGACCGGTTCCCTTGTTTCATCTGGGCACACAGATGCTCCCGCCACCCCACCGGGACCCCCCAGGCCCCGGCATCCCCAAAGGCTTCCTGTTTTCTGTCTGTTTTTAAACAAATCCCGCTGACAATACCACTCAGCAGAAACTAAACTGTTTAGGTTTCAGGCCGAGGGTTCACCCTTGGGATAAACTCCCCTTCCTGTGACCCTGGGCTCACCATCTGGTCTGACCTGGGCTGGACCCAGGGAGGAGGGGGCAGGGAACCATGGGTTCGGGCCGGGATGGTCAGGAGTCACTGAATCCACCCTGGCTCAGCTCCACTGAGGGGCAGGGGCCACAGGGGGCAATTGCCTGGTGGGGTCCCCTGTGCCCCTCCCTCCACCCTCCAGGCCTTCCACCCCTGCCCAGTCCCTGAAAGTGGCCCCAGTCTGCTCTGGACCCCTGTGGGTTGGGCCCCACCCCGCAGCAGAGCCAGGGTTCCTGGGGCCCCCACCTGTCCTCTGTGCATCCCATGTTTAATTTTTCTTCCCCAGGGGTGGGCTGCTGCAGCAGAACCCCCAGCTTTTCCACTCCACCTGTGGCCACATGTGGCCTGTTTTCCAGCTTCCGGATCTGGTTGTGTAGACAGGCCTTGCTTATTCTCCCAGTTGGGGGCCTGAGTAGACATGCCTGCCCTGGCCTGGCTGCCACCACCCCTGTTGTGCTGTTCCTCAAGGTTTCCAGGTGGGGTCTCTGCTGTGGGAATCGGACAGAGGCTGGACCAGGTGGACCCCACGCCCAGGCCTCCAGGTCGGCCTGGGCATCTGTAGGGTTGGGGTGGGATCAAGGAGGCCTGGGGGCCCCACTACTTGATCCAAGGGGAGTGGTCAGGGCACTAGGCCAGATGCCTGGGACCAGGAGGGACTTCCTGTCTCCACCCGGCACCGCCTAGGACCCTGGCCTGTCCCCAGGAATTGGCATGGGGCCTTTCCTCCTGCAGGGTTGAGTCACAGGCAGCCCTGTGATTCATGCTGTTGGGTGGCTGGGCCCTCTGCCCCCAGGACAGGTGGTGTGGCTGGCACCTGGGCCCAGCCTCCATCCCTTCAGCCCTCGGATGGGCCCGGGCAGGGCAAGACATGGACACAGGACGAAGCCCGTCCCTTCCCTGGGGCGTCCAGCCGCAGCCCGACCCTTGTGATGTGGTGTCTGAGCCCAGGGGCTGCTGGTCGACAGTGTCACCCTCACTCCCACCCCCACCAGCTCTTCTCTAGCCCCCAGTCCGGCCCCTGCCCTCCATCTCCCCACCTCTGCCTTCAGAACGCCGGAGTGCATGGTGTGGCTTCGGCGGTTGCCCCGCAGTGTCCCTGCCAGGTGGAAGTTGCCTTCCACCCACCTGCCCAGGACAGGTGACATCTCCCTTCCAGGGCCACCGTGAAAGGCACTTTACCCCCTTGCTTCCTCTTTGTACCTCTTCCCACCGCCCTATGCCCAGGGAGAGGACATGACCGCCCAAGAGCTTCACAGCCATGGAGGCCTGAGCCCACTCTGGACTCCTGCCCTGGCCTCCAGCCCCTGGGCTCTTGGGACTCTCGCCAAGCCCCCAGCAGGCAGTGGTCACCAGGGCAGGACCCTTCCTTCGAGATCCTTGGCCCTCTGAGGTCAGGCTGGGTGTGGGGCTGAGGGGGCGCAGTGGCGAGAGGCTGGTCCAGCCGCTGTCCTGGAGACGTGCCTGCCCCAAAATAGCCAGATTTTTAAAAATAACTCAGGCAGCTTTTGTTTGGCTCTTGCTTTAGAAGACATTTTTTTCTTTCTGCACAGAACTATGGAGCAGCGGAAAGGTCAGCCTGAGTTGGCAGCCGAGCTAAGCAGTGTTGCGGGGAGGGAAGGGCTGTGACCAGGGAGGCCAGGGGTCTGCGCCTGCTCCAGGTTATGCTGAGGGCGGGACCAGGTCGGGGGCAGATGGGAGCCCTTGAGCGCAGGTTCCCTGCCCTCCAGCATTTGTGCAGCCATCCAGGCCCTCGAGGACAGGTGTCCAGGGCCCCTGTATGACAAAGACTCTTGGGTGGACAGAGGGACAGAAGGCCGGGATCTTTAAGTACATCCCAGCCCCCTTCCCCTGCCGACCAGTGTCTTCGAGTCAATATTTGTGCAAGTGCTCTCAGCTGGGAAAAATGCGACCGATAGGGCCAGCAGAGGGTGCAGCCTGGGCCGCCGCTCAGGGAAAGGCGGGGGCGGGTCCCAGGGGACTCAGCCAGGGACCTTTAATCCCCTCAGGAACCTTTGCTCTGCCTGAGAGCAGCCTGTGTCCGTGCCCCCACCTTCCTCACGCAGACCCCTTCCTGCTTGGTGCTCCTGGGATGCTCATGGGTCATCACAGGCCACAGTGTGGGCTGAGTGTGAGGTCAGTCCCGAAGAGGCTCGAATCCCTCCCTGGCCAGACAGGGCACATCTCCTTGGGGAAGTGGAAGGTGGCCTCAGAGCCTGGCAGCAGGCGAATAGGTCTGTACCCCCCATCCTGAGAGAAGGACCCCTACAGGACTCGGGACTGGTGGATCTTGGGACTCTGGGACCTCACCTCCTGCCTGGAGTCTGGGCAGCCTGTGCCTGCACAGGGCTGAAGCCTCAAGGAGTCCGTGGTCCCTCCATGAGGACACTACAGCGGCCTCAGGCTGACTCGGACTGGGCTGGGCGGCTAACTGTGGCCTTGCACAGCCCTGGGGGCCCTGTTTCCCTGCTCTGGGGGCATTGCGGCCTGTGAGGTGTGGTGGGCAGCCAGTTAAAGCCCAGCTGGGGGTACACCTGTGAGCAGGGGGAGGGCTGCTCCTCGCTGTGCCCATCCAGTGCTGGGTGTGGGTGCTGAAGCCCCTGGGGCCTCCACTGGGAACTCTGTGGGGCTGGGGGTGAGGGTGTGGGCTGGCCCAGGCCCCAGTGGGGGACAGGCAGGCAAATCTGGTCACCAGCCCGGTCTCTGCCCTCTGTCCAGAGCCTCCCCTCCTCTGAGTGCCTGTCCTCCCTGTGCAGTTGGTGGGTGTTTGTGGCCCCTACCTACCCTGCTGGGTCTCCTTGGACCCCAGACACCAGGCACAGAGCCCAGCCTGCACAACGGCCCCTCTCCCTTTTCCTGCCCTTCAGCTTCCAGGCCAGGAACTGGGGCAGGAGAAGGGGAGGGGTGCTCACCTGTCCTCAGAGCTTCCAGGCTGGTGAGCCAGGTCTGGAAACCACAGTCTCTCCCCCATTTCGTGGGGGGGTGCCCAGTCCAAGGGTGTATGGGGGTCTGCATGGGTGCCCGTCCTCTTCTGGGGGTCTTTGGGCCCTGCCCTCCTGCTCCTGGTGCAGCCTCTCATCATCAAGGCCACAGACTGTTCTTAGGGACCAGAGACCTCGGTGCTGACACGCACCCCACCCCACAGGGACCCCTCCTGTGGTGGGTAAGGAGGGGTGCCAGTGGCAGCTGGGCCCCACCTGGACGGCCCACCCGCCTCCCTTCCCTCTTGCCCTGCCAGGTGTTCCACGTGGCCTACGTGCTCATCAAGTTTGCCAACGCCCCACGGCCTGACCTGTGGGTGCTGGAGCGCTCCACGGACCTGGGCCGCACCTACCAGCCGTGGCAGTTCTTTGCCTGTGAGTCTGGAAAGCGCGGCCGCGGGCGTCTCTTAGAGGCTGCCGTGGCCTGCTTTCTCCGGGTCTCCGGACACCAAGCCCTGCGCTTCCACTGGCTTCTGCGAGGGTCAAGGCTTTCCATGCCAGCGACCCAAAGGCAGTGGGAATTTATCAGCTCCCGTCGCCGATGCATGTGGCTGGTCTGGGGCTGCTGGCACCGAGTCTCTGGTGCCACCTCTTGGCTCCTCTGCTCTGGCTTCATGCTGGGCAGTCCCTGGGTAGTGCTGGAGCACTGGCACCCACAGTGGCCGGTCGGCCTTGGCCACAGGCCACCCTGATACTGGCAGGATGAGGATGCTGTGATTGGGTGGGCCTGGTCACTGTCTCCCAAGGAAGGGGATGTGGGTGGCCATCCAAGGGGGGACACGTTTTCTGGGCATGTTCCAGGGAGAGGGGTGGGCACCCAGGGGGGCACCAGCCAGTATGCCAGCCCAGTGTCTGGGCTCAGCCAGGGCAGCCAGCCAGCCATCTGCGCTTTCTTCAACAAACCCCGCTGTCCAGCAGAAGCAACCCCCTCAGCGGGTGAGGGATGAGGCTCAGAGAAGTCGAGCAGTACAGGGGCGCTGCCCTTGGGCCCAAGGTCCACGCCCTCACCTTCCAGGCCATTTCCTGCAGCCTCCAAGAGGGACTGTCTGGAGCGATTCGGGCCTCATACACTGGAGCGCATCACGCAGGACGACGATGTCATCTGTACCACTGAGTACTCGCGCATAGTGCCCCTGGAGAACGGCGAGGTGGGCCCCAGGGGGTGCGGGCAATCTGGTGTTGGGTCCCATGGTCTGATAGTGGCAGTCGGGTGCTGGCAGCCACCCAGACTTACCCCCGATACCTCTGCAGATTGTGGTGTCCCTGGTGAACGGGCGTCCAGGGGCAATGAACTTCTCCTACTCGCCACTGCTGCGCGAGTTCACCAAAGCCACCAACATCCGCCTGCGCTTCCTGCGGACCAACACGCTGCTGGGCCACCTCATGGGCAAGGCGCTGCGAGACCCCACAGTCACCCGCCGGGTGAGCACCGCCAGCCTGCCTCCAACCACATGGGGGGGTCCCGGGTGGGAGGAGGAAGGCAGGAGGAGCTGGCTCACTGGGGACAGCCTGGGCACTCGGGGTGGGTCAGGGCTGCATGGTCAGGCCTGGCCACCTGGAGTCATGGGGCCCATGGGTGCAGTACTATTACAGCATCAAAGACATCAGTATTGGTGGCCGCTGTGTCTGCCATGGCCATGCGGACGTCTGTGATGCCAAAGACCCTTTGGACCCTTTCAGGTGAGACCTGCGGCTCCCTGCTCCTCCCTGTCATCCCCCTGCCTAACCCAGGGTAGGAGACTTGGTTCCATTGCCTGCCACTTCCCTGGCTCTCTGGGTGATCTGCACTGACTGCTACCCTGTGGGCCTCAGTTTCCCCATCTGTCCATTAAGGTGGAGGGGAGGTGCCATGTGGAGCCTCCCTGGGGTGACCCGTCTTGGGTCAGGGTCATTTGTCTTGCTTCCAGCAGAGGTGGGGCTCTCCTGGACCCGCAAGCCAGTTGCCCCTGCCACTACAGTGTACACCCAGGGCCCTGTGTAGGAGGAGTCAGAGATGGAGATTATTGACCCAAAGCTGCGCATGTGTCCCCTGGGGTTCCCACCCCTTGTGTGCCCTTCCCCTGCTGAGGCAGCCTTCATTCTCTTTAGGGGTACCCACCCCAGCTCCCTGTCCTTCCCCCAGGACACAGAAGACACACTCCCTGCTACCACCACCCCTAACCTTCATTCTAACCAAAGGCAGGGGCCAAGGCCCAGGACGAGGAGCATCTGGCGTGCACTGTGGTCACGCAGCTGCGGGCAGCCAGGGGCAGCCAAGGGCTCTGACCTCCCACTGTGGAGGTCCCACCTCCTGGGAGCCCCACATAGCCTGGGCAGCAGCCTGGCCCCAGCCCCGGCACATGCATGTTCCTGGACTCCACCTTATCAACTGACTCTAGGTGGAGCTCAGGAATCTGCTTCTTCAGCAAGCCAATCAGATGTTTTGTACCTGAAGCCAGACCCCTGAGTGGCTCCAGGCACCCAGGGATTCCTCAGCTCAGTGATCAGCTGGAGCCTGGTGCTGGCTCAGCCCTGGGGTGCACCTCTTCCTCCCTCCCTCCCTCCATCCCTTCCTTCCTTCCTTGCTTCAGTGACTGTGTGTTGAGCTCCTAACACATGCTAGGCTCTGTTCTTGGCTTGGGGCATGGGGTGGGACCTCAGCCCAGCTCCGACAGCATCTGCTCTGGATGAGGCAGCCAGGAAACATGCCACCTAGGACCCAACATCCAGTCCCCGTGCTGGACCAGGAGCCCAGCAGGCTCACTCTCCTACTTCCATCACCTGAAAATCATGCAGCCCCCAGTTCGTGCGTGTGGACGGAGGTCCTGCTCTGCCTTCTGCACACCCCAATCTATAGGGAGGTGGATGAAGCCCAGACAGGACAGGAGCTCACCCCCACATCACAGTCAAAGCCAAACTGAGGGGCTGGCCCGTGGCTCACTCGGGAGAGTGTGGTGCTGATAACACCAAGGCCATGGGTTCAGATCCCCATATAGGGATGGCTGGTTTGCTCACTGGGAGAGCGTGGAGCTGACAACACCAAGTCAAGGGTTAAGATCCCCTTACTGGTCATCTTTTAAAAAAAAAAAAAGCCAAACCAAGACGTGAACCCCAGGCTCCCTTCAAATATGGAGACGGGTCTGTGAGGGGCAGCTTGGTCACCCAAGCTGGGAGACCCAGGCATGCTGATTCCCAGGAGCTGCAGGTCCCTGCCAGGAAGCTTTGGGCTGTGGAGCTTGAGCACAGCTAAATTGCTCTGTGATATTAAGTGCCCCGCGGGAGCAATGGCAGCTCGGAACAGAGCTTGTCAGGTGGCCAAATTGGCCTCAGAAGAGAGGCGGGGCCTGGGGCACCGGCGCTGGGCCTGCCCTCACCTGCTGGGTTGTCGGCACCATTCTGCCTGACTCACCTGCGCCTGGGTGTGGATGAGCTCAGCCCACTCCGCAGGGCATGAGGGTGGCACGGGCTGGGCATCCTTCCCAGAGCCACAGACACCAGTGCCATCACCAGCACCATCACCCACCAGTGTCCCAACACATCTGCCACCCATCTGCCTCCCCTCCATGGAGGGAGGGCTCTGTTCCTGTGGCAGGTTCGTCTCTGCCGCTTGACCCCCCCCCCAGTGCCACACCCACCATCACCCCCACCCTGACCTCACTGGCACTGTGGTGGCGGGTGCTCACTGCCTGCTGGCCTCCATCCTGACTCTTCCTTCACCCCTCCCTCTTCCCTCAATTTGAAGGTGTGTAATTTGTCGCTAGTGGTGGACAGCCTTCAGGTTCTTCCCTGGTTCTGTTTGTGCAGTGGCAGCTCTTTTCAGCAAGTGCATGTGACTTAACCATGTCCAAACGTGGCAAGCTGTTCCGCTGCTCCCTGGATGACATGGGCCATGAGTGCCAGCTCCTGTCCATGCACGGCACCTGCCCTGGCACCCACCTTTGTGGTTCTTTGTTCTCCATCGTCCCTTGCCTCTGCCTGCGTTCCGGAGACTGTTTTCTTCTTCCTGAGATGCGTCCTTTAGCTGTCCTGTGCCCTGTCTGTCGGAATTGTCTGAGAATGGTTGTGTGCCTCACCTCGAACGATAGCTTAGCCAAGAGTTCTTGGTTGACAAGGGTGTCTCTCAGCACTTAGGAGAGATTATTCACTCTCTGTTGGCATCTCTCTGTGCTTGGGAGAGTCACACTCCCGAGTACGCCACGGGCTCGGCCCTATAATCATTTTGAACATTCTTTTAGTTTGTTCTAGGTTGCTCTGTTAAATGAAGTTCTCAGGGTCTAACCCTGCAGTTGCGTCTGCTGACCCTGTCACGTTGTTTCTTTGCAGGTTTTCTTTAGCAGGGCCTTATCTGTGTGCTGCCCATGGGCCCTGGATTGGGAAGAATCGCTCCAGGGTGGTTTTGCAAGAGCTTTTTCTAAACACCCCAGGGTATTGCCAGCCTGGCACCACTTTCTATATTGATTTCTTGATTTGAGGTACCCTGACCACATACATTATTGAAAAGTGAAACACCAGCTGCAGGCCCTTGGTTATAGAAACTCGGAGCTGGGGTGAAGACAGACCAGCTTCCTTATTGATTACCTATGCCAATTGGCAATTTATTTCCTAGCTCCTCTTCCACTAGCATGTGGCCCTTTCAAATGTTTCTTGATTCTGAGGGACAGCAGTCTTGACTCCCAAGGCTTTTTGTTGCCCATGCAGGAAAGGACTAGATCTCAGTGATTTGGGGCTCTGGGTCTATGATCTTCAAGGAGTAGCTTTTAAAGTCCTGCTCAGGAAATGCACAGCCCTGCAGCCTCAGAGCAAACAGCCCGGGGATGGGGCTGTGATTCCTGCCCCACCCTGGATGGGTTGCTTGAGGTGTGTGCCAGGGGGTGTGGCTTTGGCATGGATGTTCTGGTTAATTCTGAGCAGTAGGTGGCTCCAACCTCCGTCCTCATCTCTGCTCAGCTGTCCCCCTTCCCACTGGGACAGCAGGCAGGATTCCATCCCTCCAACCTGGTGTCCACGCCCAGCTGGAAAAGGAAGCAGTTCTTGGCCACTTGCCCCTGGGGAAGTGCCCTGGACGTGTGGGAGTGTCTGGCTGAGCTCAGGGCTGCCTGCTAAGTGAGATCTGGGCCTTAGAGGGGATGCAAATGTGACTCTTTCCCTTGGGAGCTCACTCAGGGAGACCATAGGGTTGGGCTTGGGTCCCGGCCACAGTGAGATGGACACCATGGCCAGCACCCAGTCCTCAATCCTGACAGACCCAGAGCTCCAGGCTGACCTGCAGGCAGGGCCAACTGTACTGACCACTTAGCTCCCCTGTCCTGGGCCCTACCTCACCCACTAACACACACTCCTTCCCCAGCTTCCACCCTGTGCAAAGGCCCAACACAGCTCCTTCCACTGTCAGACCAGCCCCCTCAGCCTCCCCTTGCCTGGTGTCCATTCCCTGAGGCTGGGCGGGCTGTGCCAGAGCCACAGGGGCATGGAGCACGCTGGGGTCTGGGCAAACACTCATTGCCTGACAGCCCGGGAAACTGAGGGCAGGGAAGCTAGTGCCCACATAGCGGGCAGGTCAGTGATGATCAAGGAGGACAAGCCCCTTGGGGTTCGGACTGAGGACCTGCCATCCACCATGTCCCCAACCCCCTGCCTCTGGGTAGATCTGAGCACCACCATGCCTGCATGTCCCCCACAGACTGCAGTGCGCCTGTCAGCACAACACATGCGGGGGCTCCTGTGACCGCTGCTGTCCTGGCTTCAACCAGCAGCCCTGGAGACCGGCCACTGCTGACAGTGCCAACGAGTGCCAATGTGAGTGCCCCCCTTGTGTTCATGCACACGCATGTGCTGTCGGTGCCAGTGTGAGTGCCCCATGTGCTCACATGCACACACATGGTTCATGGGACGTGTCCAGGTGCCCCAGGGTCTTTGGGGCGGCAGACTACTGAACCTCTCTTCTCCCTAGCCTGTAACTGCCACAGCCATGCCCACGACTGTTACTACGATCCTGAGGTGGACCGGCGCAATGCCAGCCAGAACCGGGACAATGTCTATCAGGGTGGGGGTGTCTGCATCGACTGCCAGGTGGGCCACAGACAGGGGCAGGTGTGGGCGGGTGCTGTGTGGCGCGGGCGTCCCTGACTCCACAGCTCCTGTGCCCCCAGCATCACACCACCGGCATCAACTGTGAGCGCTGCCTGCCTGGCTTCTATCGCTCCCCGGACCACCCGCTCGACTCACCCCACGTCTGTCGCCGTGAGTGGGCTCAGCACGATGTGGGGTCCTGGGTCTCAGGGTCTGCCCAGAAAGGAGGCCCCTGAGCCTTGGGGCCTGCTCTGGGGGCTATCCTCAAGTCCAGGGCTGCTTGGGAAGGGGTCTCAGTCCCTGCATCCCCAGGGCCCTCGCTGCATTCTGGGCAGCCTGGCCACGGCTCGTCCCCGCTGCCCAGACTGGGGAGGCAAAGACTGCCCCATCTTGGAACCTGTCCCTTGGAGTTTGATAGCCCCGGGCTTGGGGTCTCACGGAGTCCTGTCCCCTGAACCCTGCCCAGGCTGCAACTGCCAGTCGGACTTCACCGATGGGACGTGTGAGGACCTGACCGGCCGCTGCTACTGCCGGCCCAACTTCACGGGGGAGCAGTGCGACGCGTGTGCTGAGGGCTTCACGGGCTTCCCGCTGTGCTACCGTGAGCGCTGGCTGGTGGCATCCCGTGGAACATCGCTGCCCACAGCACCCTGGGAAGCCCTGCAGGGTGGGGGGAGCCCCAGGCCACACACTTCCGTCCTGCCTGCATCTCCAGTCGTGCGGAGGGACCCCGGGTGGCTGGGTGCTGGGGCTGTTGGGGCTGCCAGCAGACCTGGCCCACGCATGGTGTCTCTTCCCCTCAGCGGTGCTCTCCTCCCGCAATGACACTGGCAAGCAGGTGCTGCCAGCTGGACAGATTGTGAGTAAGTGTCCTCCAAGTTCTCTGAGGTCCCCATTCTGCTCTGGGGCTGCCACTGGGGCAGGAAGGGGCCATGGGACAGCTCCATGGGAAGGCCCTGCAGAACGGGGGAATTTCACTTTGGCCACCTTGTTTTTGGTTCATTTCTTTTTATGCAAATAATGCATATGCACACTGGAAACTTTCAAAATACAGGTAAGCATAAAGTCAAAGAAGAATCCCACCACCTGCAAGTAACCCCCTTGCACTCTGACCTTTCTCTGCGTGCACGCTCGGCCTGACAAATGACAAGAACTTTGCACATGGCCATGCAGGTGCATTTCCACCGCCACAGTCCTTCAACGTGTGCCTTCATTGTGTTACACAGACAAATGTGGCATAACCTCTGGTTGTTGGAAATTTAGGTTCTTTCCTTTTTTTTTTTTTAATAATGTTACGATAAGCATCCTTGAAGATGAGGCTTTGTGTGAAGTCTTGTTTCCGCAGGAAAGTTTCCTAGAAGATGGTCGGGGTCACTAGACACATATGCTTTGGAGCATTTTGGGCTGTGGCTTGCCAGATTGCTCTCTTAAAATGAAACAAGCAACCAGCCTGTGGTCTCCTTGGCCACGCACACACCTGCCATGAGTCATCACCTAGCAACATCTGTCATTGTCAACTTCATTGACAGAACATATTCTCCTTGATTCAGAAACACGTTTGCTCCCCTTTTAATATTTTTGGAATTGGGATGCATCTTTTTGGTTGATGGTCTAATTGGCAGGGTTTTTCCCTTTCATCATGGGACATAAAATAATGGTGTGTTTTACAATTGATGGTTCTTAGAGTACATTGTATTTGGCCTTTTATCATTTTTAGCTGTGTTTCTTAGACATTGTAAGGTTGTGTGTTCTTTTTTTTTGGTCTTTTCTCGTGACCAGTAAGGGGATTGCCCACACCGCGCTCAGCCAGTGAGCGCACCGGCCATTCCTATATAGGATCCAAACCCGCCCAGCACCACACACTCCCGAGTGCACCACGGAGCCAGCCCAGTTGTGTTTTCTTGTCTTTTCAATTCTTTCTTGTGTGAACAGCCCAGTTTTTCTAGTGTTTCACTGTTCACTTATTCATTGGGACGAGCTCTTCCCATATTTACCGTGTTAGCTATTTCTCACAAGTCGTGTGTTTTTCTCCCTACTGGTCGCTTGCCCCTTATTTTTTAGGGATAGGGGGGCAGGTTTTTAAATTCTCAGGCAAATCTGCCAGTGTCGTTCTTCTTGGTCTCTGACTTGGTCACATTTTCATGGTGCTTCCTAAACCCAGGTGTTAACATCTGCTAGTTCTTTGATGGTTTTCTTTTTTACTTCGAAATGTTTATTAGTTTTTCATCAATAGAGTGAACTAGGAGTTGGCAAACTTTGAAAAGAGCCAGACGGTAAATAGTGTAGATTTGAGGGTCATGCGGTCTTTGTGGAAATCACTCAAGTCTACCTCCATGGGGTGCAGCTCGAAATTAGCACAGACTGTGTGTAAACGAGCAGGCTGGGGAAACAGCGGAGGAGCCCTGGGACTGTGGCTCGTCAATCCCTGGTGTAAACTACTGAAATTCCCCGATTCCCCACTGACCCATGATAAGCACCAAATAATCCCCTGCAGTGGCACAGTGCTTTGCTTTTAATTTATTTATTGCACAATGAATTGTATCAATGTCTTTCCCAACATGTGGCCAGTACTGAACATGTTTCCTGTGTCTGTATTCATAAGTGAAACACGTAGAAATTTTGTGTGTGTGCTCCCTTGTTTTGATTTTGTAAAATACTTGGGAATGGGAAATGATCCATACTTTCCATGCTGTAGCAGTTTAAAAATCACAATAATTACCTATTTGTTGAAAGTTTGATAGAACTTACTTATAAAACCACCAGGTTGGGCCGGCCCGGTGGCGCACTGCTATAGTGCGCCGCTTGCGAAGCGCGGTGGCGCTCCCGCCGAGGGTTCGGATCCCGCATACAGACCTTGGGCCGGCCCGGTGGCGCACTCAGTAGAGTGCGGCGAGCGCGGCGGCGCTTGGGAGCGCGGCAGCGCTCCTGCCGAGGGTTCAGATCCCATATAGAGACCGGTCCGCTCACTGGTTGAGCGCGGTGCGGGCGCAACACCGAGGGTTGCGATCCCGTTACCGGTCACGAGAAAAGACAAAAAGGAAAAAAAAAACAACAACCAGGTTCTGATAACATGCTTTTCAATGGATCTTCAGTTAAGGTTTTAATTTCTTCTATGGTTATTGTGTAAGTTTTCGACTCATCTTAAGTTAGTAATCTTAAGTTATTTATATTTTCCTAGCAAATTGCCCATTTTGTTTGGATTTTTAAATGTATTGTTATAGGGCTGACCCCATGGTGCACTGGGGAGAGTGTGGCGCTGGGAGCGCAGCGGCACTCCCGCCGCGGGTTCAGATCATTCCGGTGCGCTCACTGGCTGAGCGCGGTGTGGGCGACACCACACCAAGGGTTGCGATCCCCTTACCAGTCACTAAAAAGACAAAAAAAAAAAATGTATTGTTATAAAGTTATGCACAGCTTTTTTTTTTTTTTTAAGATGACTGGTAAGGGGATCTTAACCCTTGACTTGGTGTTGTC